CACCTCATTAATAGCCTTTTTGATTTTGACTTGGTTAGATTTTAGTTCTTTTATTTCTCCAGAAAGGGATTCTCTAGTATCTTCCATGCTTTTTTCCACCCCACGTAGTATGTTTATAATCGTCATTCTGAACTCTAGTTCCGACATCTTACTAATGTCTGTTTTGATTAGGTCCCTGGCATTTGGTACTGCCTCTTGTTCTTTTTTTTGAGGTGAGTTTTTCTGTCTTGTTGTTTTGTCCAGAGGAGAATAGATGAATGAGACAACAAAATGCTAACAGGGTAACTTTGATCCCAGAAAAATATACACTAAACAAATCAGAAGAGACTCTAAACCAGGGGGAAAAGAAAGGGAAAGAAGGAAAAGAAAAAAAAAAAAAGAATATGAGCAAATATGATCAGGCTGATGAATAGATCAGTGTCACACACTAGATTTTGGGTGTATTTTGGTCTGTTAGAAGAAACTGCCTCCCAAAATTTTAAAGAAAGAGAAACTTATATATGTACAAAAATAAGGGTAAATATGATGAGGGAATGGAATATGCGTTTAAAGATGAAAATTATAAAATATTTTATAAAAGGAATCGATAAGAAGTTGGTTAAAAAAAGAAAGAGGAGAAATTTAAAAAGGAACCAAAAAAAAGGAGGGGAAAGAATTTGATCAGGCAGGATACTAGAACAAAGCCATACACTAGAGATTTAGGGTATATTTTGGTCTTTTAGAAGAAACTGTATCCCAAAATTTTAAAGAGAGAACAACTTATTCAAAAAAATAAGGTTAACTACAATGAAGGGATAGAATATGACTCTAAAAATGAAAAATAAAAAAGATTTTTAAAAAAGGGATTGATAAGATATGTTGGTTCAAAGGGAAAAAGAATTAAAAAAATAGAAAAGGAAAAAATAAAGAAAATTAAAAAAATTAACTTTGAAAGACTAAAGAATCATGGGAAAAAAAGCCACGAATTCTCTGTGTTGTATTCCCTGGGTGCTGAAGTTCTGCCGTTCTCATTGATCGGTAAACTTGGTCTTGGCTGGATATTCTTGCTGATCTTCCGGGGGAGGGACCTGTTGCAGTGGTTCTCAAATGTCTTTGCCAGAGGCGGAATTGCCTCGCCCTTGCAGGGGGCCCGGCTAAGCAATCTGCTCAGGTTTGCTCTCGTGAGCTCCCTGCAAGCTTTCCGTACAGCTTTGGAGGAGGAGAGTGAAAATGGCGGCCTCCCAATCTCCGTCCTGGAGGAAGCGAGAACTCGGGGCTCCACTCCTCAGTGAGCCCCCAGATTAAAGCAGTCAATCATTCCTGTCTCCCCGGTCTCCAGCCGCCCTCTGTGCTCACCGGCCTGTAACCAAGCATTTCTGTCTCTGGCTCATGACCCCGTGTGGAGTCTCCAAACCCAGCAGATCCCTGCGGTGCGCTCCCATGCTGCTCCTCCCAGGGGAGGAAGGGGAGTCTCCCCGGATCTGCCACTTGTTGGGTCCCTGCTGGAGGAGCAGTGGCCCCACTGTGCCACGGATCACGGTTTATGGCAACCCCGAGCTGAGAGCTCACTCCTTGGCTCCGTCTCTGCAGCTGGCTTCCCCGCTCCGATACCTGGGAGCTCTGCTGCACTCATACACCCCCAGTCCTTCTGTGACCCCGAGGGTCCTGAGACCACACTGTCCCCACGAGCGTTCCACCCCCTGCTTAGCCACTGGAGTGATGTCCCTCAGCGGAGCAGACTTCTACAAGTTCCAATTTTGTGCTCTGCTGCTCTATCACTTGCCGGTAGTGGCTGACCGAGGCTCCCCCCCTCGCTGTCTATCTTCCCAAATATCACCTTGGATTCACTTCTCCGCCCGTCTTACCTTCCAGAAAGTTGTCGCTTTTCTGTTCAGAGAGTTGCTGCTATTCTTTTCTTCGATCTCCTCTTGAGTTCGTAGGTATTCAGAATGGTTTGATACCTATCTAGCTGAATTCCTGGGAGCAGACAAAATTTAGGTCTCCTACTCCTCCGCCATCTTGCTCCTCCTCTGTGTTGTGTAATATTTAATACATAAAACATGATATGGCTTAGTTTATCTGTTAATGAGCTTTGCAAATATTATAATGTATTTTGTCTTCTGCAGTTTATATTTTGTATACAATATAGTTTGTAAACTGTGTATCCATATGTATAGGAATAGTTTATTCATTTAACTTTGTATAATATTCCATTGGTTGAATATTATTCACTCTCCTATCAGTGGAGTTTAGGTTTTTGTTTGTTTGTCTTAGTTTTTCTGCTATTATGAACATCCCTGCAAGATGTATCCTGATGACCACTAAAACACATAATTGGGAGGGAAATCATAGAATTGGGATATCAAATATTCTACATTACAATATAGAGCAAAATTATTTTCAAAGCATAGGCTTTTCAGTAGGTATACTTTAATAGAACCACCTTCTGAAGGGACCAAAGGTCTCTCTTTTTAAGCTAAGTGTTAACAATATTGATCAGACACTTACTGGAATTTCATATTGAGTGTTATTATCTACAGGTCAAGAGAAATATAAAAGCCTGTTCAGAACTGACAAGATCACAAAGAAAATTAATGCTTTAGAAAATAAGACCAGTGATAGATTCCATGCTATGATTCTTTGCCTGTGAATAAAACTATTATCAAGGATATTAAACTTAAAAAAAATGATTGAAGTATGATGTATAAACTTACAAGAAATTCTCTTTTGCAAGACCCACAATACTATGTCCTACCTGGGAGAATATGCAATTACCTACATATTAGTGTGCTCTGCATTCTTCTCTATCCTTGGCTGGCTATGATGCCAACCTTGCGTACTATATGGCCTGAATCCCTAATTGGTAGCATTTATTTAAGGTTATTAGCAAAGGACATTTAGAGGTCACTTTCATAATGAACATCGGAGTGCAAGATGGTGAAGGCCTGGGCTGAGAAACCCTAAATCAGGTTAACTAATCTATTTAATTAGTTTCTTTTAGTAGGGATGAAGGACTACTAAGTTTTGATGAAGCTTTAGACAGGTAAGGCAGGAATATATCCTGTCGTTCACGGAAGGAATTCAGGGACTGGGACAGCACCTTGTGACCCCTCCCTGCAGGGAGGGCTGATATCTAGGGCTGATACCTAACTGCAGGGGTGAGGAGGAGAGGGATATTGAAGTTGGTGAACATTTACATCTTCACTTTTGCCAGATGTGTCTGTACAACACAGTAAATGAATAATTATTTCAGTATATTAAATTATTAGCAAGACTTTTGTCAATGAGTCAAACGGAATAGTTTAAGTTAATTGAAATCTTTTGAGTGACTAGGTATTCTTGAATCCTCCTGAATCATTTCTTAGAATCTTTCCTCTTTAATTAACAAAACTTTCTAAAATATCTCTTCTGTATGTTCAGTGATTCAAGTATAAACACACTTAACCACATAATTCATTATTACAAATGTTCATTTATAAACCTGGATATTTTAACTTTGTTGTACATACCTTTTAAGATTAAAGACCAGTATTAGACACACTATACCAAAGTTTTGGAATGTTTTAGACTATTTTAAAAATAAATAAGACCCTTATAAAAGATTATACATGTATTAAGAGACTTATTCAACAAGTATATAGGTCTCATATCATAGAAACAATATAGGAAAAATATTTTCAGCTGGATAACACTCCACTGAAGAATTTCCAGCACAGTCAGTTTCTTTGCAGAGGAATCATAAGTACTAACTGAATTTTACCCAAGCTTGAAAAAAATGGAAATTACCAGCTAGTTACTGAAAAATGAGAAATGAAAGTGAAAGAAATCAAATGAAATTTTAAAATAACTTTCAGTGTGTAACAGACTTTGATTTGGTACCTTTTATGTTCTAAATTGAGCAAAAGCACATATTTACCCACCCAGCTGTATGTTGTTCTTAGTCCAAAGCTTCCATTTGTTTACAAAAGCTAGTACATAAGCCTCATTTGTAAAGCAACCAATGCTGTTATGAATGGGAGGACACAAGTATAAAACACCAAGACCCTAACAATATCATTGATTGCATTGGTGTCTTTTGTGTTTTTTCAGAGGATAGCTTACATCATATTGCTTCAACACTGTTTTTTATTAAGTTTAGTAACAAAGTTTTTGTGATTTCATTCCATTACAAGACGGTTGAAGAATAGCAAGGCATCTACAGATGGACATCGGTACCTTTTTCGTGGCCGGATCAATACAGAGGTGATGGAAGTGGAGAATGTGGATGATGGCACAGGTAGGTAATTTGTAGTTTTAAAATGAAGCACCAATAGGAAACTCCCTCATAAGACAGACTTCTCACCTGAATAATTCATTTGCAGCGCATTAGAGCTTAGAAATACTTTGTTAGGTAGAGCAGTTGGAGGAGAAAGGCAAGATAAGAGAGATGAGGACTATCGGAAGTAGAAAATTATATTTGGCCGAAACCCACTAGCATTCAACACAGAGATACAAAGAAATAGCTGAGTAGGAGTGATGTACACACTCACAGTTCCTGGTATCACCAGCATGAGTACAGAGAATAAGGAATTAATTTATTTTCTTCAAGTTATACTATGTTTTATATGTATATATATGATACTTTTTCATATAGTATGTTCACTGTAGAATATGGAAAACTCTAAATTTGTTTTAGCTCTACAGCCACCATGCATATAAACATGCTGTCGATTTGCTTGTAGAGTAAGGGTGTTGTGTGTATTTTACTTTATTACTTAAAGATAGTGCATTTTCACACTGCAACTTTGAAGGTACAGACTTTGACAAGTAAGCTTATCAAATCATGATTAGTCACAAACATTAAATAAATGTTTGAGGTTAAATAAGTTATTTTCTATTTGAAAAAATAAATGTGTAATATTAAGTAATATGATGATATACTAGTCTATAATATGCATGATTAGTAAATTGGATCACATTTTCCCCCCCAATGATTTTAATTCGAATTTCAAAGATATGCTTCTAGGAGAAATGACAAGATGAAACAAAATATATTAATTGTTGCTAAGTGACTTTAATTCCCATATAGAGAAATGCCTTTATAATACCCCATTTAAACATGGGTTTGGGGCACAGATCAGCTCCCTGCTACCACATACCTTTGTTGCCATCTCTTAGTCCCAGAGGGGAGAAGAATGTTTACCATCTGCATGGGCACAAATTTTCAGATGCTCACCTGTGTACCATTTCTCTATCCCATTGTTAGCATTCTAAAACATTGCCCAGAACATAAATAGTGAAGCATGATTGCTGCAGGTAAGGGGAAAAGATGCGCAATGAGCAAAACTCAGGTGTATTCTCCTGGGAACCAAGTCATCTTGTGGCGAGGTTCCACATGGGCTAAAGGAGGGATGTAGGTGTGGGAGCTGTCTGACTGCTGGCACAGCTGAAAATCCCTGTCCGCAAATACTCACATGCTAACATGTGGGACTTAGTAGGCTATTTTTCCATGTCAGGATGTGCACAATATTTTTTATAAGGTGGTATTTTAATTCATTTTAATGCTCTGAGAGGACTCTAGTGACATTTAGGAATGTTGTCTGTCTACATGTGAACGGCTATCTTGCTTCAGTAACCTGACTGCTCAAGAGAATATCCAAAAGCCCATGTTGTACTTGAGGTGGGTGGAAGGAAGGCCGAGGAAGGCACACTCAAACCTCCACTTTGTTCCTTCTTGGCCCTGTCTCCCCCTGCTGGAACCACCTGTCCCCTGTTGCTTTAGCCTTCTCTTTGTTTTCTCCCCTTTTTATGCCTTTTCATGGGCACACAGCTCCTGTGTCTCATTTCCTTCCCTCTCCCCCTGATGGTGTGGTCGTCCCCATTTGTACCATTTGCACGGGTAATCTAAGTGAATTTTGGTAAATTTTGATGAATTTGACAATGATTCCTACATTTTGGGAAACTGGGGCACTAGATAAGGAAATCTAAGAGCCCGGGGCCATTGGAGGCATGGGCATAGAATACCGTCTACAGGGGCGCCAGGTGGCTCAGTCATTAAGCGTCTACCTTCGGCTCAGGTCATGATCCCAGGGTCCTGGGATCAAGCCCCATATCGGGGCTTGTGTTCCCTCTCTTGCTGTGTCTCTCTCTGTCAAATAAATAAAAATCTTAAAAAAAAAAAAAAAGAATACCATCTTCAGCATAGATGTAGGGCAGTGAGAGCCTATGTTGGGTGATGGAGCAAATGGCCTTTGGATTCAATCCCATGAAAATGTTCTTTTAGTGCTGGTAAGATTGTAGCCTTCAGGACCTCAGTACCTGGGGGATAGGGATGTTAGGGAAACAAGTCTTCAGACCCTGGTAGATATGAATTAGTGGGGAAGACAGGACATTTCAGAATATTTAGTCATAAATTGTCTGATGACACCTCTTGGCACAAACTTCCAAGGCTCAGGTTTCATTGAAATATGATGAAGGAATTAATTTTACTTTGTAGTATCCAGTTAAGGCCTTATTTCTTCCTTTAACATATATACACAGCATGTTGCAGGAATTTGGCTACAAATACTTGCTACAAGGTCACTTAAAGAAATTTTAGGCTGCAGCTGGCTACCTTCCTTTTGCTTCCTGCAAAGAAAATTTAGTATTCTAGTAAGTGTGACTACTAGGTCTTTAGGATAAGCGTACATCCTCAGCCAGGACTTGGAAACTCAAAAATAGAATTTCTGAAGATGAATAGGATCTTGAAGATCAACTAATATACCCTCTTAACATTTCAGATGATGGAAATGAAGCCACATTGAAGAACTAACTCGTCCAAGTTAACCCAGATGTTTAATATGAAGCTGGGGCTGGAGTGAGGTTTCCTTGGTGACCATGGCCATGCCTTGAGAAATAGGGAGCAGAGGTTCCATATGGGTTTTAAATCTATAGGGACCAACTGGAGAGCTGTGAAGAGATAAGGCATCAGTATATAGAGATTAACTTTGGTTGTTTGTTTCTTCTAAGAAACAATCTGGGTGCTACACCAACTTTCTCCTTTTTTGTTTTCTTGGTCATTTCCATCACAAAATCTCCATTTCTTTTTGATGAGCTCAGGTTTTAAGTGTTCTTACTGTTTTTTTTTTTAAAGATTTTATTTATTTATTTGACAGAGAGAGACACAGTGAGAGAGGGAACACAAGCAGGGGGAGTGGGAGGGGGAGAAGCAGGCTTCCCAATGAGCAGGGAGCCCAATGTGGGGCTAGATGCGGGGCTTGATCCCAGGATCATGACCTTAGCTGAAGGCAGACGCTTAATGACTGAGCCACCCAGGTGCCCCAAGTGTTCTTACTTTAAACTCTATGAATGGGAGCTCTGATGTTGATAGATCTCAGCAGAGCTGACCAATGTCCGGATGTCAAGTCCTTCCCACACTTGGACCCTGGATGAGTTACATGAGGGATGGTAAATACTGTCAGGCTCATCTGCTCGTTGCCAAAACCAAAACCAAACAATGACTATACCATGTTGTGGGTAAATAATACAAATTAATTAACCAAGATATATTTTTAAGAGTGCTTAGAACTTTTAATGAAAAGTTTAAATGTCCCCCCATCTACTTGAATATATTATAAAAATATTAGGTATTTTTGCATACTCTAGGTATAAGTAAAATGCTTTTCTTTTCTAAGGACTCCATCAGACACTGATTGTATTGATTTAGCTCAAAACTTGCAGAAGAAATAATTGCATTTGGAATGAGACTAAGCTTTTAGCCAGTGTGTAACTATCTAAAATCTTTTTGAAAAATAAACCTGATTATACTTTTACTTATAATGTTTAATGAGTTGGATTATATCATTTATATCTCAGAATACAAAAAATTGATGCAATAATGATATGACATGCAGAAATGTAAAAATTTGTGTATTTATTTTAATATATCCATGTTATCCATTACTGCTTATGTTCAAGGAAGGTGGTAGCCATTGAGTTTGTGGCCAAATTTCTATTCCACCATTCTCTAGATCCATCTCTCATTTTGTCTAATTCTAATTTAAGTCTTCTTTGAAGATTCTTTCTGAGATATTAGTTTGATCATAATGCATAAAAAGTATCCAGCTTAAGACCTAAATAGGAAAGCTGTTGAACTTTCTGCCATTAACTTTCTTGGTAATTTTCATAGTATATGCTTAGAAATTCATTCAGAAGGTAACAACAGATCATTTATATTCTCTCTTAAGAACTAGTTTATTTTTGTATTGTATTCTTTCTTAAGAACTAGTTTATTTGTGTAGTTGGACAGAGGGCAAAATGGTGACCTTTAGTAAATGTGATCTGCAGTTCAGTGTTACACAAACCACAAATTTCAATACAATGGTCAAATTTAAAATAAGTAAGTTGGAAATTTATTTATTCTTTAAGGTGTTCTTTAGAGTAAATAGATTTTTTTTAAAGAAAGATTTCAGCTGTCATTTTCAATATAAATATTTTAAACCATTTAAAGATATTAAACATATTGGGTTTTTTTTAAATTAAATTTTGCTAATTAGAGAAAATTTGGAAATAACAGAAATAAGTTGAAAATACTAGATAATTTCATCATCTAAAGAGAAATAAATGAGAATTTTAAAATATTCCTTTAATTTTTTTTATGCACAGATTTTTAAAAAATGCTTAAAAACATGAACTCTATAGTTTTGGGTTTTTTAAAATTTTTTTAATTTTTTTTTTTTAAGATTTTATTTATTTATTTGAGAGAGA